GGACCTCAGCCTCGTTGGGGTGTTGTAATACGTAAGTCCCCATCGACTTTTTCCGTCTCCAGCCTCCAACGTTCAAGGAAATCCCGGAGGGTCTCCTCCTTTTGTTGCCTTATCGTTAGCAAGTGGGAAAATGCTTCTTTGATCGATGCCTTCCCGCAAATTATGTCAAGAAACGCTGGGCGAGTTCTTGCCACGAGTCAATTTTCCCTTCGAGCAATCGGTTGAAACATTCGTATGCTGGTCCTTCCAAGGTGGAGAGGAACTAACGACACAAATATTCATCTGATGCCCCCATCATCATCATACTATTCTGGTATCTGCTGTAGTGCTCCTGGGGATCAGTCTTCCCCTCGTTGGGCTTGATGGATTGCCCTCAGTATTTCCCCGGAATCTGGGCTGCCAACACCCTTGGGGTAAATGGCTTCCTTGTCCGGATCTCGATGACGGGTTCCCCGGAGCCCTCAGCAATCTTCCTTTGTATCTCTTCCATCTTGTCCAGCATGGCCTCATACTTGGGGTCCGCATGGGAGGCGGAAGCGGTTGTGTGCGCTTGGCGAACCTCCATCTCATCAAGCCAGCGCTGGAGGGTCTCAATGATGTCATCCCGGTGATCCTTCGGGAGTGGTTCCGCCCCGCCCAACTGAACATGGGCCGAATGAGCTTGATTGATTTGGTGTCGGGCGTCACCGACGTGTAGGATCCACTTGCCCTTGTCACGAGGGGGATGCCTCCCATCTGCCCTCGAAACGGAGCCTCCGCTCTCCTAGGGCCTTTGGGACGCATTCCTACCGAGGCGGTCTTGGACCCCCCAGAGGTCATGTGCCCCTCCGAGCCTGTCGAGGGCAGAGGTTCAGGGCTTATCTTTATTCGCGCCGCGTTGGTCCCGGGAATGAGCCTCCTGGGCGTTGGTGTCCTGAGCGACGACCCCTTCGTTGTTCCCGATCCGAAGGATAGGGTTTAAGAAGGGAAGTGGGGGTGGGGGAGGAACGGCGTTCTCCCCGACATGCGGTTGAAGTGACACCAGAGTGCCGGAGGCTCTAGGGTTCTGGGTGAGCGTCTGCATGAAGGCAGAAAATGCTGACTGCACGTCAATAGTGAGGACCGGAGGGCTCACTTGGTTTTCGCTCCGGCCCTTCCTCCGATTCTCGATACCGATGCGGGCATCGGGGGCATTCTTCTGGAGCTGGAGACGTAGGTCAACGGCAGTCTGTTCTAAACTGGTGATGGCTCCGCCCTCAGGAGCCTGGTTGGAGGCTTCAGGGGCGTCGACCTCACAGGGTTCTTGTCTTCAAGGGTTTTGGACTGGGCATGAGTGGCTCTTCCCATTTCGAAAGATGTTTTCGTCCTTTGAAGGGGAGGGTTTCTTACTTGATTGTTCAACCTCTCAACGACAGCACCAAATGATGGATCGTGTACCCGGGGTAGCTTATCGGGAGGATTATTACGACTAATAACTTAGAGAGAGGTCAGAGAAAGTGAGAGAGAGAGAGAGAGAGAAGGAGTGTATATTTGATATATCAGTTGTGTCAAACATGCTAAGCATGGACACATGTCAAACATCCGACGGCCGAGGGTCACCTCAATCGGGGTTGCACCGACATTTGCATGTGCACCGCATTAAATGCGGTGGTTAGACGTGACGCCGCATTAAATGTGGTGGTTAACTGTCTCTCAAAGGAATCTTCGTTGAGTCTGCTGTATACCAAAGGCCTGCGTGTGGCCGCCGACATCATATAGCCGAAGGCTATATACAGTCGAGGGCATGGAATAGCCGAAGGCTAACATTTTAGCCAGAAATTTCCAGAAGCTTTGGTGGTCCACTTCAAGTTGTCTCCTAGAATTTAGAGCCTTCGACCATAGGGTCGAAGGCACATCCTGCCTATTATGGGTTGTCTGGAGTCTCATTTGGACCTGTTGGGCCTGATTTGTTGTAGCAGAAGTATGTGGGCCGTGGGTTCCTGGGCCATATACTCCATCAGTTGGTATGAAGAGAATTCGAATAAACAAAATAAAGTGTTATAAAACAAATGAAAACTGCATCTTTTAAATGTAATAAGTGAGAAAAGGAACTTTTTGTCTTTTATGGGTCGAACGATTTTGCATTCTCAAAATGAATCGATAAGAGTGATGGGATGAAGTTCACAAAAAGCGAAACAATAAATTCATCTGAAAGCAAATCATAAATTGGAAAACAGAGATAAGAGGTGGATTAAAAATACCTACAATAGAACTCCAGTGAAGGTGTCTCAGCTTGAAGTATCGATCTCTGAATTGGAAGAGAGGAAGATGGCAGGCTTCTGAATGAAGATAGTTTCGATGAAGGCTTCTGATCTCCAATGCTTTGTAATGAAGGAGAGAACCTGTGGGCGTAGCTCAACTGGTAGCAAGGGAGTGCCACAAGGGTTAGGTCCCGGGTTCGAATCTCGACAACTTCGAATCCAGTGCTAAAAATGCATAGGGCATCTGTAAGTACCGGGGACAGAGCCTCACTCTCTATCTGTCAGATTGTGATTATAGTCCAACTTACATCCTCCCAGCGTACCGTCCGGTCGAGATTGGGGGACCCTAAAGGATGGGATGTCATCCTTTTTTTGTAATGAAGGAGAGATGTGAGATATTGATGGAACGAAATTTGAAATAAGATTCTAGTGAAGTCGATTGAAGTAAGACTAGCATATATCGTCATTGGTTACTCACGTACTAACGTACAACTTCTTCCATGACATATGGTCAGGCCATAATGATTTAACTTTTTTTACTCTCCAGGAAAAAATGCAACTTAGGCATGAGAACTGAGAAGCAAAAGCTAAACAATTAAAGAGAGAGATCAACTTCAGGGCTTGCTAGGGTTAGAAGATACTCTATGGGAAGTTTGGTGCATAGAACATGGATATGACTAAGGGGTTGTTTGAATCTATTTCTTAAAACTTTTTCTAATTCTTTAGGAAACAGTTTCAAATATAATTGAGTGTTTGAGTGAAAGTGCAGAAGTACTTTGTGATGCTCCAAATTGCTCCCAGAACTAGTTTTTTAGAAGCTAGGATAGACATTCTGATTCTTCTTCTGCTTTTAAAAAGAATTAGAAACAGAATCAGTTTCAAACACTCCTAAATTAAACGACCCTTTTTGAATAAATTAATTATGATTGCATCGTTGGAGACCATTCACCATCATCATAGAAGTTAAAGAGAATTGAATTGGAGGGATGCTTCTCAGGGACAATGTACGTGAGCGTGAGACCGTGGATGGCAAAAATGTGAAACTTATCCGTTTTGTGAGCCGTGCAATCTATTGTTCCAAAAGGTGGAATCTCGCACCCCAGGAGTCCCTCACACCCTGACCCGACAAGATTTTTGGGAGGATGTAATTCACGGTGACTCAACTGATCCAATGATGGTGGACCTTTTACCCGTGCGCACCAGAGATCCAACCCACCACGTAGGAGTTGTAACCTCCACACGGCCGTTGCGGGTTTCGAACCTTGATCATTGTTCCAAATTTTCCACCACTAAACTAACTGGGCTACCCGTGTGGGTTGTCAGCCGCAATCTAATCGGCAAATGTGCGGCTACAATGAAATAGCACTGCTCAAATGAGGCTATCAAATTCTCAATGGTAGTTTCGCACGTTTCAAAAAAAATTTATTTGAAACCACTATGAAAAATGCTTTTTTTCATATAATATTTTTTTGTTATATTTCATATTAATAAAAAAAAATCATAATTCTGCAGATTCAGTCGATCAGATATTGATCAATTTTTCACAAATTCAATCGACTAAACCAAATTCTTTTTCATCAAACGGCACTACAAAAAAATTACGGGATTGTCAAGGAATTTATCACGGAGTTACCGATTTTTCGTGCCAAATAGCTCGTGCCAAAGTGTTTTTGGCACAGATTTGGCATTTCCCTGCCAAAATCCCTGTCAAATCCCTGCCTATCCTGTGGTTTTTTTGTAGTGCGGGTTATAAGCCTATAAGGAAATAAAACTATACATACATCGGACCAATTCAAATAAAATAAGACCATAATAAGGAAATAATTAGGGAACTACGGAGTATAACATACTACTCCCTCCGTTTCTGAAACAAGTTCCACCTTTCCTTTTCGGGCAGATTCAAAATTAAGTTCCACTTTCAAACATTTCCTTATTATCTACATCAAAACAGTGTTAAACAGTGTCAAACAGTGCCAAACAGTGTTCTAACAGTGCCAAACAGTGTACTCCACAGTAAAGTCAAATTTATTTTCTTAATATGTGTGAAGTCAAATGTGGAACTTCTTTAGGAATCGGAGGGAGTATATAATAAGTATAATAATAAAATGAGCTAATTAAAACAATGAGTTTGAGTGACGTATAAGTCATGTGATAATTTGCAATGAATCCAATGATAAACCTTTACACTCTTTTAGTAAATGATGAGTAGTACTTAATTGTAAATGATAAAAAAAAGTTCATTTCCATAGTGCAGAATGATAGTGTAATTAATTAAGATATAATAATAATAATAATTAATAATTCGAGCGGCAAGGCTAGAATAAGGTACGTTGATGAAAGACTCCTTTGCCTTCCTCTCTTGACCGGATTCATTCTTTGACTTTGACCACCAGGTTTCGGTCAATTCCAACGACTCCTTCAATAATTGGCTGCTTTCTCTCTCTTAGCTTTCACAGAAAGAGGTTCTTAATTAATTTCTTCCCCATCGATCAAATTCGGATGCTTAATTATTACATTCTCCTTCTTCTTCTTTCTGACCTTGTAAATAAAGATACTCTAACTGCCACATCTATATATATATATACTTTTCAAAAAAAACACACGCCTACCTTTTCAATAATATAATTGTACGTGCATATATATATATATATATATATATATATATATATATATATATATATATATATATATATATATATATATATATATATATATATATATATATATATATATATATATATATATATATATATATATATATATATATATATATATATATATCAAGTGTTATCAAGCTTAATTGATACCATACGATGGAGTTCATCTTCCAGCTTGAAGAAGGAGAACGTATCACCTTTCTTCATCAGCTGTTGATTCAGACCTTTGGGTGCACTTATATTTCTGTATGGTCCTACCTGCCTCAACCATGCAAGTATGTAGCTAGTGTATATATATATATATATATATATATATATATATATATATATATATATATATATATATATATATATATATATATATATATATATATATATATTCTTTATAAATTAGTATTTCTCCGCAGTATTTAAAAATGTATTCAAAAATATGATTTTTGAATAATTAATAGTACGTACTACTATATATAGCAAAATTTTACTCAAAGATATTGTATAATTAACCATGGATTTCGCTATGAAACGGAGATGTATATTATTATTGTACACCACTATGAAGAACAAATTAATTAAATGTTACTTTTGTTTTGAATATATATGTGGATTATTTGCTGCAGCTACTTTATCCCTTTGGACGGGCTCTTCAATGGAGAAAACAATGTTGCCAGAAGGCTGTTTGAGGAGTATATCCACTCATTACCAATAGCCAATGATGGGTATGTATTTTTGTGTACTCAGTCTCCTTGTACTAAATGTTCCCGAATGACTCATACTGAAAATCGCGTCGAAAATTGCATAGACCGATTGTTATTTCGTAATAAAGGAGTACAGACAGTTTAGTGAGTCATTTTTTCTTTATTCCATCATATTCCCAAGCAAAAAAATAGTGAGTCTTTGGCTCCATTGAAAATGTTGGAAAGTAATTAAAGTAATACTCCGTATAATATAGTTTGAAGATTCATGGCAGATTTTTTTAAAAAAAGGAACAAAGTGGAATGTGTTTGTTTTAGGTAAAAATTTTCTTCAATTTATTTAGTGTAAATTTTTCTTCAATTTTTTTTAGTGTAAATTTTCCATTTTTCATATTTATATTAGTCTACCCCTCTAATGTTTCCGTTTAGTATAACTACTCTTCAGCTCAATTTAACCCAAATTCCTGGATCCACCTCTGATTTTTATCATTGCTTTTACTTCAATACGGGCTCATTCAATTTTGAGAAAAGTTGCAAATAAGCCCTCGAACTAATCGAAAAAATGCAAATCACCCATTTTATAGGAGGCTCTGTCTGGCCATCAACATTTGGGGAGGTTACCGGTGGAATTTTTGATGATTTTTTTGAGCATCTTCTTCATTAAGTCTAGTTTACCCATACCAAATTTCAGGTAAAAATTCAAACCGGAAGACAGTCAAATGATTTTCTGAAATATACTGCGCTGTTTAACTGTGCAGTTATCTTCAAACATTTATTTGACTGCCTTCGCGATTGAATTTTTAGCTGAAATTTGTTATGGGTAAACTAGACTTAATGAAGAAGATGATCAAAAAATTTCATTAAAAAATTCCACTGGGAACGCCACAAATGGTGACGGTCGGAAAGAGCCGCCTATAAAAGGGGTGATTTGCACTTTTTTTCGGTTAGTTTGATGGCTTATTTGCCCCTTTTCCCTTCAATTTTAGGAGAATTGTTACACTACTACATTTTTAGACCTAATGTAACATTAATGATGTAACATATCTATAATGGTGTTACCTATTTCTCTAATGTAACACTTTTTAGAGCTAGTGTAACACTTTCTAGTAGTATAAGTGTTACATTAGGTACTATAAAGTGTTACAATAGGTCAAATGCAACACCACCAAATGTAATGATAAAAAAATGTTACATTTTCTCTGAAAAGTGTTACTTTAGAGAAAATGTAACATTTCTTTACCATTACATTTGATGGTGTTGCATTTGACCTATTGTAACACTTTATAGTACCTAATGTAACCCTTATACTTCTAGAAAGTGTTACACTAGGTCTAAAAAGTGTTACATTAGAGAAATAGGTAACACTATTATAGATATGTTACATCTCTAATGTTACATTAGATCTAAAAATGTAGTAGTGTTACTAGCTAACTTTGCATTATTGCAGTACTGAAGGATTCGAGTTTTTAGCACAAAATTAAACAAGAATACTCTTACTCACGCATAATATAATTTTAAAAGAAGAAATTCCACTTATGGTCCTTCAAGTTTTGCACCAATTCCACAATTCGTTCTCGTTTTTCATTTTATCCATTTTTGGTACCTGACTATTGTTTTCTTGATCATATATAGTCCTTTTCCAATAGTAAAAATGCTCAGAAATGAACCACAAATGGTCAAAAAAACAATAGTCAGTTACCAAAAATAGATAAAGTGAAAGATGAGGACTAAATATGGAAATGACACAAAACTCGGATGACCTAAAGTGGAATTAATTCAATTTTAAAATATTGGTGGTTTTAATTTGGATGAAATTAATAATCAATTAATGTAAACATCATCATCATCAGGCATATTCCTGGATTGGCATTTCGAAATAGTCTTCCTTATTTGGAGCTCCAGTTTGATGATCTGCAAACTCTTGTAGCAACTCCAGTGCAGCTCCAGTTCTATAGGGTATTTTCATAAATAATCGATCATTAATAATTACACTCACGTATATACGTAGTATTTGGTTTAATTTAACTACAAGTTAAAATGAACATGCAACAGTATAATTAATTACCTGTATTAATTTTCCCCTAAATGTGATGCAGGAAGCTGGAATAAAGGTTTGTCTCTTGAACAATAAAAATATGCATATATGTTAATGCACTTGCATATGAAAAAATTGTAAAGATTATACTACTATGTAGTACGTTCAGTATATAACTTATTCATGTGTCAAACTCGATGTTGAGGCCTTCAGAGATGAAGTGTCATCATTTTTATTCATGTGTCAACCTTTTATCCGTATGTGTAACTAATTAACCTGACCACATTAAAGCATTTGCTTTCAGAATGTATGTACAAACTTTAATGAAAAATTTCACATTGGATGTGACTAAATGGGGTGTTCGGATCTGATTCTTAAAACTGTTTCTACTCCTTCAAAAAGGCAGAAGCAGAAGTTGGAGTGTTTGGGTGAAAATGCAGAAGTGATTATGATGCTCTAATTTACTCCTAGAATCAGTTTTTTTAGAAGCTGGGGGTACCAGCTTCTGAAAACTGATTCTAATTCTGCTTCTGCTTTAAAAAAGAAGCAGAAGCAGAATTAGTTCCAAACACCCCCTAATTTTGAATTGGTCCATTTTTTTGCAACAAGTCCTTAAAATGAACAAAATTGTTGAGTTTCAATATGTATAATACCTAATTAATATCCAAGTAAATAGAGATACGTGACCAATAGCGGGTCGGGCAATGAGAAAATCTATCAAATTAAGAGTCGTTTGGTAACACTAAAATTGGCTGAATTGGCTGATTCTGCTGAAATTTATGAAGTTCTGACTGAAGTAGCTGATTCTGTTGATTCATGAAAAATTATATTTAAAATATCTGTTATTAATAAATTAAATAAAAAATTATATGAAAAATAGCTAAAATGATCCTTTACAGTAACTTCAAACTTTTCTGTTTGGTGAAATCAAAAATTACGTGTTTGGTGAAAAAACTGACTGATAAACTTGATAAGCCATAAAAAGGGGTCACCAAACGAGTTCTAAATCATATCAGCAAATCTGTTATGTACACACACATACACACATTTACATATCTGCTGAAAAATTATTTGTGTACCTTCACTATATATTTGTAATGATTTTATGTGTGTATGATGTGTATAGACAGCCATTTTAATGGGGTGTAGCACAGGTGAAATTGAGGTTGGAATGTCTATCATCCCTGAGGTACGGAAAACATAATTATTACCGCTCTCACTAATTCCAACTATTAATTATTTCTATATAATTCCTAGTATATGACTTGTCCGCCCAGAAGAGTGAGTCCATGATGGACCATGACCGGATATAAACTTTTATATATAAGAGGTCACTATTAAATAGAAATTACATGTATTCTATAAATAATCCGAAGTATGCACATTCTTTTATTAATAATCCCAATAATCAATTCGTTTTTTTATAAAATGTATAAAATTTATATATAATTCAAATTTGGGATTTTATAATATGTACATTTTAACTAAATCTATAAAAAGGAAACCACGTTCTAAAAATAAAAATATTGCATTTTATTATCTTCAAAATTTTATTTTAAGAAAAAACATTATTTCTCTTTTTTAATAAATATTTATTTTTGGGTTGTTTTGAAAATTCATGAATTTGTATTGATTTTTACTAATATTAAAATGATCCAATATTTTAATTAGGATAATTAGGTTTTAATTTTCTAACATTCTTAAAAAGTATTATCTTTTATTATTTTTCACCTTCTTAAGTTTAAAAATGCAGGTTTTTCATTTTTTAACTATGAATTTGTACTTAATTTGCAATTTCATTTTCCCTTTAAAGTTTTTATATTGGCCTTTTATCAGTCTCTCTATTTATATATGTTTTATATTTTATAATAGCTTACATATATAATATAAAATTTTGAATTTTGAATTTTGAAACTATATAAGTTAATTTGTTCCTATTATATATATATATATATATATATTTATATTCTTTAATTTCATAAACTACCTAAAAAGGTTTATTACAATGCAAATAAATATCTATAATTAATCTTTTCGAATTTTTTATTTTTGTAGGAAAAAATTATTTAGTTTTGAGGTTCTAATAAAAGTCGACATATAATAGTTTGAATTACGTATACTACACTCAAATGCTTTTTTTTAAGTGGTTGAACAATTAGCCGATCACGTGGGACCATTATGAGTGAATGGTCTCTAAAGTTAGGATTATTTTGAAATAATCGAAAGTTGGGATTATTATGAGAAAAGTGACAATAGTTAAGATTATTAGTTTAAATTTTTTCTTAAAATAAAAATAGTATTAGCTGGTGTATATGACTATACATATGTTTCATTAACACAAAATTAAATTTCTGTTTTATAATGAATTAGTGCGTTAAATTTTAATTGTGGAAAGTTTTTAAATTGTGAAGTACTTGAAAATCACAGGAAAGAAAAGTGTCTATAACAAAGAAGGGAGATTAGACTAAAACATATACCCTGTGTCTCAAAAAATACTTCTCAATTTGACTTGGCACACTTATTAAGAGAGTGTGAGTAAAGCGGAAATATATGTTTGTGATTGAGTAAGAAAAAAGTAAATAAATGTTAATCACACAAAACTTTTCAAAAAAGAAAATGAGAAGAATTTTTTGTGACACTAAAAATGGTAATTAGGAAGAATTTTGTGGGGCAATGAGAGTACTTTTTTCCCAAAATAGGACCATCCATTTTAAACATCCTTAAATAGGACTTTTTTATTTGTGATTAGACCAAAATACCTCATAAACTTTACCACTGGTGCCCCGTGACTCACCGGACTGCCACCTGCCTCCGGACCTTCGACCACCGCCGGTGGTCGGCGGCGGTGGAATCCTCCACCTCTGCCGCCGCCACCGAACTGTCCCCGCCAGCAGACATTAACTTCTTTGTTTGGAAAAAGATCAATGTTTTTGTCTTAGCAATGACAATTTTCTCAACAAAGAAATACTAATCATGATTGTGTTTTCCCAATAAACATTCGATTGAGACAATATATGTTAGTGTAACTGCCGTAGTCTGACGTATGATCATATTCTATTATATTGTTTTTAATTGTTTTAGTAATATTATATTACGTTTCTTTTTAATCAGTCATGATTTACTTTTTCCGTCAAATATGTTAAATTTTGACGAATTATATTTTTTTCATACAAAAATATAATTTAACGAATTATATTTTTTTCATACAAAAATATCTATAATACTACGTATAAAAATGATACTCCGTATTAAAATGGCCTATAATTTGTTAAAACTTAAAAGTATAATCATAAAAGTATGTGATGGAGTATATGGCCCGGGAACCCCCGGCCCACAGACTCCTACTACTCCAATAAAGGCTTAATAGGCCCAGGAAGCACAACAAGCCCAAATCACGGCGCCCAGAGTACCAAGCAGCCCACAAATGCGCACCAGGGGTGCCTTCGACCCCCTGTCCGAAGGCTCTGAACCAACACAGAAGAGCCAAAACAGGAAAACGAAGTTACTGGGAAGAACGGCGAAAATCAGTAGCCCTCGGCAACTGGAGCCCTCGGCACTAAGGGGTCCCCAGTACTCAGAGCCCTCGGCATTAAGGGGGTCCCCGGTACTCAGCGCCCTCGGCTAGTCATCTACAGCCGAGGGCACCTTTTCCGACATAATATCCGCTCCACATGCGTATGGATCACCGTACCCAGTACAACGTCCCATCCAACAGCCGCATTAAATGCGGCCACATGCGGTTGCCAGCGCCAACCAGTTGAGGTGACCTCTCGGCCAATGGACGCTTGACACGTGTCCCTGTCCGGCATTTATTGCTACTATAAATAGCACCCCATTTCCCCATTTGTGACCAAGGGCAAAAAACGCTAAAAACACTGAATACTTTCTAATATACTTTCTCTCTCTATACTCATTTACTCTGCCTTCTCTCTTGTTATTCCCCGGAATAACCCCTCAGATAAGTTACCCCCCGGGTACACTATCCATCATTTGGTGCTCTCGTTGAGAGGTCGAACAATCAAGTAAGAAACCCTCCCCCTCGACGAAACACAAAAAATGGTGAGAACAACTCGTGCCAACTCCAAGAATGTAGAGGACAGGAACCTGGCCCTCGGCGAGGTCGACGTCCCCGAAGCCTCCAACAGGGCTCCCAAGGGCGGCGTCATCGCCGGGTTGGACCAGACGGCTGTCGATCTACGCCAGCAGATTCAACAAAATGCCCCCGATGCCCGCCTCGGCATCGAGGCCAAGAAGAAGGACCGAAGCGATAATCAAATTAGCCCTCCGGTCATTACAATCGACGTACAGTCGGTGCTCTCCGCCTTCATCCAGACGCTCACCCAGAACCCGGGTGCCTTCGGCACCTTGGTTCCCCTCCAATCTCAGGTGGGGGAGAATGTTATACCCCCCCTCATCCACGACCCCTCGGTAACCCGTTCCTCCGGATGGGGAACTCCGAGGGGGTCGTGGCCCAAGATACGGCCTCCCAGGAAGTCCAGTCCTGGGACCGCCACAACGTAAACAAAGAACAGCTCCGGACCTCCGCCCTCGAGAGACTCGGAGGGGCACAAGACCGCCGAGGGGTCCAAGACCGCCTCGGGAGGAAGGCGTTCCAGAGGCCTCAGGAAAGTGGAGGACCCGTCTCCAGGGCCAATGAAAGACGTCCCCCTCAGGACAAAGGCAAGGCACCCCTCCATGCCAACGACGCCCGCCACCAAATCAACTAGGCCCACTCGGCCCGCGTCCATTCGCAGGGGGCGGAGGCCCTCCCGAAAGACCCCCGGGACGAAATCATAACGGCCCTCCAGCGCCGGCTTGACGAGATGGAGGCCACCAAAGCCCACGCCACCACTTCTGCCCCTCATACAGACCTCAAGTATGAGGCGATGATGGCCAAGATGGAAGAAATGCAGAAGAAGATAGCCGAGGGCTCCGGGGGAACCCGCCATACAGCTCCGAGCCCGGACGCCATTTACCCCAAGGGTATTGGCGGCCCGGATCCCGGAAAAGTACCGAGGGCAGCTCATCAAGCCCTATGACAGAAAGACTGACCCCCAAGAGCACTACAGCAGGTATCAAAACAGCATGATGATGGTGGGGGCATCAGATGAATATTTGTGCCACCGGTTCCTCTCCACCTTAGAGGGGTCGACGTACGAATGGTTCAATCGATTGTCCGAGGGCTGCATTGACTCATGGCAAGAACTCGCCCAACGATTCTTGACTCAATTTGCGGGAAGACACCGCACAAGAAAACACTTTTCTCACTTGCTAACAGTGAGGCAGAAGAAGGAGGAGACCCTTCGGGACTTCCTGGAGCGCTGGAGGACGGAGGCTGATAAAGTTGATGGCACTGACGACGGGACCCTCCTGGCCCTCCTACAAACAGTACTCCACCTCGGGAACTTCTCAAGAAGCCTCATCATCGAGCCTCCCCGCGATTACATAAGGGCCCTACAGCGGGGGGACTGGTACGCTGAAGCCGAGGAGGTGGAGAAATGCCATCACATCCCGGATCAGCAGCGCCCTCGGCCAGAAGACAGAGGTAACCGGGGGCAGGGGGCTCCCCGCAATCATCCTAAGGAATCTACCCCCTCCGGTGATCGCCCCCGGCATGGCCAAGCCAAGCCCGGGGGAGGCTACAAGGGGAACCCGAGGGCTTGGGCACAGCCTGTCCTCCTGGAACACCCTCGGACACCTTTGACGCACCCCGTCAGCGTCATTCTGGATTTTGCTGAGGAGAGGGGCCTAGTGGAGCGAGATTCACGTGCGCCCCCGAAAGTATTCGCCATCAATCCAAACTACCCCTACTGTCGTTTCCACTGACACCAGGGGCACATGACCGATGACTGCCATCAGCTGAAGACGGCCATCGAAAGATTGATACAAGCGGGCCATCTGTCCCAGTTTATCCAGGGCCCTCAGCAACAGGGCCCCCCTCACCAAGGGCCAACCCGAGGGCAAACTGCGAGAGCAAATGCATGGGTCAACCCCAACACCATCCCCCTTGGCAAGAAGAGGGAGATTGGAAATCTGGAGGAAGAGGAGGAGGAGTACCCCCGGTACCAAGAAAAGAAACGCCACATCCTCATGATCATGGGGGGAAATACCGGGGTGATTCTACGAGCCAACGAAAGAAGTGGGCTCAATCACTTTACGTGGGGGAAGTCACTCATATGCCCCCGGTAA